AAGTTACCTACAGCTTAATCCTCGTATCTAATACCTAATCGACGTTGACATTCTTATGTCAACTATATTCAATAGAAACAAGACATATACATTTACCGATGTATCTGCATATCATGTATAGATACACTCTGATTTTTTTTTTTGTTATTCTTATCAAAAAATAAATCATTCGTTAACAAATATAAAAATGTAATATGATATTAATATATAAGTATATCAATGATTAATTTAACTATTGTAATACTACTTAGTATAATTGACATAATTTTAAATATATCTGAGAACTTATCTAATATATTCTTTTGATTCTTTTTGAATTTATAAATTAATCAACAGTAACTATTCCTACCTAAAAGGAAGTGCTGTATCTTCAATATAAGTATCTTAGATACAATATTGATACAAGATACGCGATAACACCCGTAAGATGAAATTGAATTTCATTGGGGTTTGAGGGTTGTACAAAATTTAATTGTTGCTGTACACAATTGTACAAAATAAAGTACATAATACTATACGGTTTAAAATTGAAATTTGTGAAAAATAATTGATCCGGGTGCTGGGGTAACGTTACCGCAGCACCCGTAAGATAAAATTGAATTTTGGGGGTTTTGGGGATTGTACAAAATTGTACAAAATAAAGTACATAATACTGCTTGATTACAATTCATAATTTCGAAAGTACGGGTGCTGGGGTAACGCACCTCGAAATATAAACTCGAATCACCGTAGTGACAAGCTTTCAATCCGTGTTCACTATATAATTTTATCATATGGTGTTTACAATACCTAACCTAACCATACAGGTGTCGTATCGAATACATGTCGTGTGAACGGACCGCGTTAAAAGTTATATCCTACGAGTTCGGTTACCTAATAATAATTTATTATTATTACGCGTATGAATATTATGACTAATGACCGGATTTTTATTCTCTTAAAATACCTAAAATATGATGCTAATATTCTCTAAAAAACCTTCAAATATTCTCATTATATTCTCTTAAAGATCTTAAAAATATCGAAAAATATTGGAAATTACGTTAACATAATTATCAAACATCAATGTATGCTTTAATATGCATTTTTACAATTTTTTTTTTTTTTATGACATTCTTTTAATCATGAGGTATATACGTAGTTGTATATTATAATAAAATACTATTGTATTTCAGTAAGAGTAGGAATATAGTAAAAATATAATAGTATAGTCTATACTATATAGTTACTCTATAGTATTAAAATTTAAACACAATATTCCTTTGATATATTTTAATTAAATGTTGTATTAACACTATAGTCATAATATGAAAAAATGACAAATAATCATATATATTAAAATATAATAAAACAAAAAAATTAGTTAACAAAGTTAATCCTTAAATAATAATTATTTAATACAAGATATAAAATAACAATATAGGTATAAGTATATATACCTATATATAAAAAAAAACAATATTCCTTTGGTGCATACAATGGTAAATATTTACTTTCTGAAGAATAAAAAAGAAAGTTAAAATACTATTTAAATTTTATTATAATATAATTCATATTATGAATTAACAATAATATATTTTTTCATATTATCTGTACTCATGTTAGTTTTATCGCTTAAAATTTGTTTATAGAGACTAAATGAACGTTCAACATGAACAGATGTTAGACGTACAAACTTTATGTCAGCAACTACACTGGGTGTAAAATATTCTGGGAGATCTTCATTGTTTCCACATAAAATGTTCCCAACTTTTACTAACATTTAGTAACCTTTATTTTTTGACATAATTGAGACACTTAAATTTTTATTATGTTAACCTTTTCACCAGGTTAATTGCTTAGTTTGCAGTTTATAGTTTGTACAATCTCCAACGATGACACCAAATTTAAATATTCTAAAATATGCTAAATGGGCTAAACATTCTCTAACCTATGAAATATTCTCAAATATGTAAAAAAAACTTTTTTCTACTAACTTAGAATTGAACGAATCATCCACATTTATTCTCTCATAAGACTACATAGACCCAGTAACGATATGTAAAAACATAAATCCGGTCTTTAAATTATAACAGTACAGTCGGTGCCGTTCACTGAGATTTCATCAACCAATGGTATTGGTAGTTATTCTAAGAGGGGTGACCAGTGAGAATATATATCAATTAAATTAAATATAATATAGATATAAACACATGATTTGGGTAGATAGGTTGGGCGCTGAATACAGCATCAGGTAAATCCAACAAGTAACTAGTTGACATAAATAAACATCTTCAACTGGAATATATATTCACGTTCTCGAAACTGAAATTTTGCACATATATGCGCAACAGATTCCTCGAATGAATTGTGTGATCAGTAGCACGTTTCCAATGAGTTGTATATAAAGCATCTGGTCCTATAACCTATTCACATTACTGTCACAGTTTTAAAAATATCGTTCACCGTTTAGAAAAACAAATTTACGTAATACCTATTTTATAATCAAACGAAATATTTGTGTCCACAAAACACTGGGAAATGGGTTTTTAAAGATTATTAATATGTAAAATAGAAGATTTTATAATAGCCACGACATTCGAAGTTCACCGATGATCATGCCGTTGATATTAGTGTCGAGCAAACAAATTAAAAGCCGATTTCCACTTGTCATATTTTATACTCGAGACCACGTCCGTGTGTCTCGGATCCTTGGCACGGATAATTATTTGATTGTGTATACGCGTTCACGTCCGTGCTTCTTATCTCGTACGAGTTATTTCATCATGTCCGAGCCAGCACGAATATGTATCAAAAATATCGTACGAAATAACATCCGAATTTTATTTTAGTATCGACTTGGTTTTTTACCTGTTCATACCAGTATTTATTTAATCGAATTTATACAAATTTTTGTAAAATGTTTGAAAAAAGTATTCTGATGACACCACAATGAAGTTCATTAATATTTATTCATTATTAGATGTGCATTGGAACACAAGCTTACCAAATTATAAAAATAAACATTCTAGACAAATTGCCCTTGAAAAAATTGTTACAGAAATGAATATAGATAGTTTCGGTATTCCTGAAATTAAATAAACATTTAAACATTTTTTATGAAAAAACATTGTAATAAACTATAGGATTCACTAGTTGCTAAAAATGTAAGAGTAATTTCTAGCTTTATCTTAGCTAAAAGTGCTTCACGTAAAAAAGAGTTTTGTTTTTGTATGTTCTTTTCAACTTTACTTAAAAGATAGCTAAAGTGACCATGGCTCATTCTTAAATAGTTCTTAAAGCTCATCAGATCTTCATTTTTCAGTTCTTATAACAAAACATTCGATGCTCCCAGTATATTTCGTCTATCAACCCAATTTCGGACCCAACATATTATTTTTTTTTCTTTTCCTTAGAAATTACAATTTGATTGTTAAACTCTGTAGCTATGAGTCCACAAACTGAAAAAACGGCGTCCGCTACGTCGGGCTCCATTTCGGATACTAAATAAAAATGGTTTTCTGACAATGTATACTGTAACGTTAGAATTCGTATGAGTGACTCACGGATCCGAGACACACGGACGTGGTCTCGGATATAAAATATGACAAGTGGAAACCGGCCTTAAATCATAATTTTCCCGGATTCGGGTCCAATCCGTTTTATCCGAATTTTGGATTCGATCCGTAGATCCGGATTTCGGATCCAGTCTATTTCCAGGTTCAACCGTCACTCCGAAACGGTGTTGGTAAGTTGCGGCCCAAACCCTAAATAACGTACGAGTTGCGGCCCGGTGTAACAGGCGATTATTACCCCCGGTAAAAAATTGTGAGGGGGGTAATAATCGCCTGTTGCTGTAGGCAATTATTACCTCAGGCGATTAATACCCCCCAGTAAAAAATTGTGGGGGGAGGTAATAATCGCTTGTTGCTGTAGGCGATTATTACCTCAGATGATTAATACCGCAGGCGATTAATACCCCCCAGTAAAAAATTGTGGGGGGAGGTAATAATTGCCTGTTGCTATAGGCCATTATTACCTCAGGCGATTATTACCCCCTCCCTGGTAATAATATGGAGGGTAATAATCGCCTGTGACACCGGGTTTATGAGAGGTGCGTACGAGTTGCGGCCCATACAATAATCTATATACTACATATATAATATATACTATACATAGTACATATAAACAATATAAAATATTAATACTACGTATTTTCTAATATTGTCGTATATTATTAATATTTATCATTTCAAGAATAAAAATAAAAAAAAATATTCGTAAATTAATAATACCGTATAGTAATTTCATTTTTTAACTATTGTTTTGGTTAAAATAATAATAATAAAAAGAAAATGTGTGAAAAATAAGCTAATAAATATAATAATATTTTGCGTTTCTAGAATATAATATATAATAATTATAAATTATTATTTAGACATATTATATTATTACAATAGATAATACAATAAAACGATCTATATTATATAAAGATATAACTTGCTATACGTATCGAACAATTCGTTTATCGTTATTCGTTTATCACTAAATATATAGCCAACACCGCATCGTACATATAGTTACTAGCCAATAGGTACACAGGTAATGATAATTATTCGGGCCGCAACTCACCTATAGCTAAAATATTGTCGGGCCGCAACTAACCTACGGCTAAAATATAATCGGACCGGAATTCACCGGTCTCCAACACCGGAATCGACACGCCAGACCGCAACTCACCCACACCCCTCCGAAAAACCTATTTGAGATAAAGATATTAAATCATTTTTTAATACGGGTGGTAATTTTTAGAACCGATAATGTATTAGTGTGTTAAGTTTTTAAAGAATCCAGAGATTGTTGGATGAATCCGAAAATCCGGGTTAAAAAACTGATAGATCCAGTGAATGGATTAAGCTCTCATTGTTTAAACATAAATAATAATTACCTCTGAAACAATCTAATTTTTCCTTTCCAAAATACCTATTTGATGATTATTATTATTATTTGTATATTTACAGGCTGTATTCACGGATACTTCGGCGGTGCATTGAATACAGTATAGCGAATCAAGAGTGATGGCAAACGGACTAGTGAATTTCCAGGACGTGGATAGCAATGACGATCCTGCAGACGATTGGCCGATGCACGAAAACGTATTGCTTTCGTTGTCCGAAGACGTGCGGCCGACAGCGATGGATTACGGGGCGGGCAACGACGACGGTGCCGCGGCCGCGGTGGTCTCCAACGTGCAAACGTGTCTGGCCGAACCGGTGATACCTACGACCGCGACCGAGAATCGACTGCGGCCACAGCCGCAAACGGCGCGGGACGACGCGATGGCCGCGGCCAGACGGATGCAGACGCGACTGATGGCCATCCGGTCGGCGTACACAGACGGCAAGTACTACGAGCCCAATGCGCGATACGTGTCCCGGACGGTGGAGGAGCTGTGCACGTGGACGGAGGACGTGCCGACCAACGTCCACACTTACACGGTCGGCACGGTGGACTACGACCGCGATACGGGCGCGTGCCATCTGCACGGACTCGTGGACCCGCGGAGTCGCGTGGCCGTCGACTGCAGCCCGTTGACGGACACGCTACCGCGGCACCGAAGCACCGTGAAGATGTTCGCCACTCTCCGGACGCGGGAAGACAGTGACGGGGTGGTCACGCCGGTTTTGGTGCCCGACCACTTTCAGGTGTTCTCCTGTGCCGGTCTGTTCCGCTGAGGCCGCGGTAGTAGATTTCCTCAAACATTTTGGAATAAAGAAAAACGCATTCCGACTACGATTTACAATTTTAAACACAAATTACAAATGTACACGAACTTACTCGTATAAGCGGATAATCAGGTAGTATCTAACGTAATGTCCAAGTTATGGTACAACATGATAGTCAATTACTTCGAAGTCCGTTCATGCGTGTGACTTCACATAGTCTTCACCGCTTCCGAGGTTCTTTTATGAGTTTTCTCAGGACAGAAACGTTGTTCTTTTATTTTACTTTTCTTGTCGAACATTATTTTTTGAATAAAAATTAATTAATTTATATTCATATATTTAAATTTATATATTTTTTTTTTTTTTAATAAACGTATCACTCGATTTTTATGTTATATCCATTGCCAGGGGCAGATTTAAAACGATCGAACACTGCAGCTAGTTTCAAGCTTCATACGCACATGTACCCACCAATAATTACAATCAACTACCTATCAATTATTAACAGTGGCGCATGCAGGGGGAGGGGTTCAAGGAGTTATAACCCCCCCCGAAATTTTCTCCGATGTCTAGGTTAAAATTTACAAATTTTACAAGTTTGAAATATGAAGAGCTAGTATTGAATACCTAGTATCATTGATTATAGAATAGTCTATTCTATTATTAATGCTATTATTTAAGTCAAAATTTATTAAAGATTTACATAATTTTGTTAATTGTAAAATATGTTATATTTTTACCTTGACCCCCCCCTCTGAGAAAAAATCCTGTGTGCGCCATTGATTAATAATTCAATAATACATGATAATACATTTTAAGTTTAACTGTATTTATTTTTGTTTTTATTATAAATAATATTATTATTATTAATTATTGTTTTAATAATATTTTTAATTTTATAATGTAGTAATTAAAAGTCATTGGTTAATATTACATCTTTATCTTAGATCATAATCAAAGAGTTTATACTAGGTACTATAAAACTCACTTCATAATATTTATATAACGCGGTATGAATAAAACATATAATATATACAATAATCGTTATTGTGATTTTGAAAATACATAATAAACATTATTCATATAAATACATACATCTACTAAATATGTAAATCCTACTCAGTTGGATTTTTATTACTATTAAATATTTAATTTATAGAAGACTGCACGTTCTAAAAAAAATATTTTAACTTCAGAAAACAAAAAATACAAGAAAAGTTATTTTTATACCATGAAAATATTTGTGGTGTTTTATTTTAAAAAATTATGTCATGTATATATGATACAATAAGTTGAATTATTTTCATCAGTGGTTTTTTTTATTTAGAGATCTATTATACCAGTAATATTTTTTGTAGTAACAAAGTGTAACATGCAAATATAAAAAAAAGTGCTTTTTATTCTAATAAAATTAATTATTTATAATCCGTGGAATGTGGAACTAGCTGCAGTGATCCGATCGTGATTTAAAGGATGGCCAAGGACCTTCCCTCCCATTAACCTAGGACCTCGGTTAGTTTTATAATAGTTAAAATATTAAACTTATAAATAACACAATTTAATAATATTATTTTGGGAACGAATTTATAAAGTTTCTTGATGATCTTATTAAAAATATAAGTAATAAACCAACTGATCGATGTAAGTAATCCAATCGAATAATCTTAACTATAACTAAACTCTATTTTTAATGTATTTAATGTACAATTATGACTTTAAGTTGTGTATTTTATTCTGTTTTGAGGGTTTTTTTTTAAAAAATTTAGGTATTTTATAATTTGTAAAAACTAATACCAAAATTCTATATCCGTCACTGTACACTAACACATGTTGAAGAAACTTTATAAATTATATGTTAAATAACAGAATGCCGAATAACTTCCTAATTTAAGTTTTTATTCGCCAAGAAGAGGTTTAGAATAATTATTATTTTGTAACGATTTTAATTAGTTACTACTTGTTTATATAATATATGGACGATTGTATTGGAATTTACTGTTTTCAACAAAATCAAACATCTAGTATATTTTCTTATAATAATTTATACCTATATTATTGTAAAAAAAATGTATAATATATACGTGGGACGATAATTGATTATTCTATCATGAATAAATCATAAGCAAAAAGTGTTGTTAGATGCGTACTACCAATACTGACGTGGGAATCCATAATTATTTATCAAGATCGAACTATGTATCATCTGATCTTATACGACAGATCAGCCAACCGAAAGACTAGTGTAAACAATATCCAAACAGTGAATTTCATATCCATACAATAATGACGACAACAACAGAAATAATGGTGAATTCTTATAAAATTATTATTGAAGGCGAGTAAATAAAGTTCATTATTATCAACAATTTGAATAGACCATATTACATCTATGTAGAAGTATAATCCAGGAATTTTATTTTAGTACCTTAATGAAGAGGCTGCCTCAAAAAAAGAATATTTGAGGTTTTCGATGTATGATTCATAAAAAGTTAGTGATATGGCATTTAAAATGTTTTCATTCATTCTAATAACTTATTAAATCACACAAATTTACCTAAGATTATTTATTTTTTACAAGATAAAAAAACTACATAGGAGATAAAATGACATTTAGATACAATTAGATAAAATTAAAATTGAACAGATTTGAGTAATGATTATTTTTCCTCTGAACAGCACTGCGAAGTTAATTATACTATAAAAAATGTAAAAAAAAATCTTCAAAATATTCTAAAAACAAATTTACTTTAAATGATTGTAAATAATTTAAAAAAAACTGATTTCCAAAATATTCTAGTTAACTTTGTTATTACGGTGCTACAGAAAATACAAACACTACACGGTGTCGTCATGGCGTGTTATATAACCAGAGATTATACTGGACATTCAGCCTCAGGCCTATGGGTAAAGCAAATTTAACAATCGAGACAGTTGTACCGTTCTCCACGAACTAAAATGGAGCCTATCTTAAAGAATTATGACAGTAAGCATTTTTACCGGTTTAAGACTAATTAATCCCATCAAAACTGAAATTATACTCACGTTTTATTTTTTGGATTCCAAAAAAAAAAAAAAAACAAATGGCTCACCCGAAATGAGGTTTTTTCTTTTACAACCACTTTTTCGCAAAATTTGAAAATATTACATCGGAGATACTTTAAAAAGGGTTTTTTCATAATTTGAATAATTTTCTCCAAAAATCTTGAGCTTCGTTAAACATGGTTATTATTTAAACGCTACCGTGATTTAATAAATCACACCGGTATTATTATTTTAATAAATGTAATAAATATAATTAATACCCGTAGTTTAAGATAAAAAAAAAATGGTGACTTAAAATGAGAACGTTATGTAAAAACATAATGATTGATTTATAAAGTTTTGAAAATTTAGTGAATATAGTGAGTAAGTACAGCGTAAGTATAGGTATATTTTCCATTTTTAGCTTTTAAAAAAACTGTATATAGCATCACAATTTAATTAAAATAAAAAATAATCAGCAGTCTTTACATGAAATTAATCATTCGAGTCTTAATTCAAATATTAAAACGTTTTGGCTGGAGAAAACCAACAAGGATAATTTATTATTAAAATAAAAATTGACTGTAGGTTTTTGGCTTAAACGTTAAAAAACTATACGTTTCATACGCTACGCGCTGTACACTTATCAACAATATATCTGAAGTTCGAAGACCAAAGCGACAAAGGATAAACACACTCGGCGTCAATAGCCCAACTCTGTTTTACCCGAACATATTATTTTTATGATTTCACATCAGGAATAATGTATATTTTTAATCATTATAACAGTGAATGGTGAGTCCAACCACTAACAATGTTTAAATATATGTATTTTACGATGAACATTTATCAAGAGAACGTAATAATTAATTTAAACGTATATAAGTTCATGTTATTCTTCGCGGGAGTGCGATTAATCTAAAAATATGTTCACGTTATACACGATATACAATAGAAATACTATTAAACTGCATTATAATACACCTGTTTTGGTTATTAATTATAACTAATTAGTGTGATTCTGAATAGTGCTGCTGAGTTAGACATTATTAATAACTTATTAAATACGTTGTCGTCATTTTATTGTGCAACTGTTTGTATAATGTAAACACACATTTCAATTGAAAAACAAATATTAAGAACATATTATTTTTTTTATTTTTTTTTTTTTTAGTAAATCCGGAAGAGTTTTTATTTTTATTGTTATTACGTGAGCACAGGGATAATAACGAAGACATACAAATGCAAACATTCATCGACATTTCCATACGTATATGAATTTGATTTATGTACCACGAATGTTCTCATGAAAACGGCCACCTTTCAAAAGTATTTCTCATCCCGATCCTCGTGAAAACTTATAGATCCTGAACGTACGATAAATTATAATCAAGGTTTGGATTTTATGACACTGCAATTAGTTGAAATACACGCTTACTATTAAATCGGTTTTGAACGTGATGAAATCGATCAATCGGGAGTACTGATGTATGCATTTATACTATAAATATGTAGATATATCGACATAATTCGATATCAGTGATGTATTTAGGAATTTTTCATGGTTACGTAAAAATTTAACGTGGTTATATTTTGCGGTTATAACTGATAACAGATGGGTATCAACAGCACTGATAGAGGGGTCCGAACTTCGCGGACTTTTCACTCCGCAAACACGCCACTCGTCTGGAGTTGTTAAAACGTTGTCGCTAACAATGTTTATAATAACGTGGTTAAATTTTTTCCGCGTATCGGAAGGGGGGGAAAAAACCCCCAATCCTTTTGAGAAATTTCAAAAAGATTTCTATCGCCGACATTGTACATCCAACACGTGTATTTACGCGACAAATATTTATTGATCCGGATGCGCGATTTAAAACTATAGACACGTAATCTTTGGTGCACAAAACAAACGTTTAACAAACTGAGCTATTTTTTATCGGTAATTATTACGATCAACAAAACGCTGTGGGATCACATACCCCCGTACGATTACTGCTGCACCACGCACACGTTTGGCACACAATTTACATATATAAGCGTCTAACCTAACTAAGGGGGCGCAATAGGGTTTTTAGCAACCCTGAGTTCAAATGTAGCACTCCTGTTTTTTTTTTTCTTCAGATCTATATAATCTATAGTGATTACAGTTAAATACCATTTAATTTTATTTTCAGCAATTTCAGCACCCCCAAAATGTGGGCTCTAGTTGCGCCCATGAATGCACACCGTAAAGGTGCGTTTACTTTATGACACGAACGCGAACGAATACGTGATTCGGTACACTAAATCGTACCGCACGAATAAG